AAAATTCTCGCGTCGTTTGTTTGTAACCGAGAAGCGAGTAGCGCATATTACAAAATGAAAATTGTCGAAAGATCTTTCAGTCAAGGGCGTCGCTTCGGCTTGAACGCCTTTGCGCGTCTGGCGACTCCTGAGGATATCATCTCCGTGGCACATGATAACAACACGGAGCGCATATCTTTTCCTTCTTTTTTTCTTTTCTTTTTTTTTTTACTCATTCGCTCGATCGTCTCGAGGCAGCGGCTCTCTGCCGCCGTGATTTTCCGCGGAAATGTGATAACGAAGGGAAAGAAAGTATCGCGTATCGACCGGCTGACACGGTCAGCGAATTCGCAATCGGCACGGTCGAGAAGGCTTAGTACGATTGCGACACAGTGAGCGTCTGCAAAAGTGGGTGCAAACACCAGGTGCGTTCGCCAGGTCGACAAGCCGGGTACACCTGTGGCGGCGGCGAGGGGCTCGCGCAGTTGTACGCCAACTATGGGCGGCATCCCTGGGTCCTTGGCGCGGGTCTATCATCCGCCATCGTCGCAGCAAACGCCACCGCAGGGTTATCAGGGCTTGCCATCCCGCGGCAATGAGCCGCCGCAGTCGCCCTCGCCATACAGCAACTTGCCATACGCGCGGCCCTCCATGGTGATTCACGACCCCGTAACACCTTAGTCCTTTACATTACCACGCTTTCGTTGATTAATTGAATTAAAATTTCATGTGCGGACGAAAGAAAAAAAAAAAAAGAAATACGTTCGAATTGTTCCTGAATGCAACCGCTTACACGTGATTTCTTTCAATCCTACGAGGACTTCTACTTTCTGGAGAACGATATATTACTTTTTCCGTCTGATCAAATCCGATGAAATTTAAATTTTATAGAAACGCATGTCGAATAATTAAAGAGATCAGAGTAGGGATGGGGGGGGTTCTCTTGGGGCGCGATCAATCTCGCGTATCAGACTCGTGCAAAAATCATTCAAATCGGACGGTTTCCTAAGGCCATTTAGTTTGCATTTTTGTGCTAAACGGACGCGCCTTTATTTATTTTTTTTCTCATCCCTCCGCGTCACGGTACTAAGTAATCGTCTCTTTCGCAGATCGGTTTCGACGGTCACATGAGGATACCCGCGAGTAACGGACTGAACAACATCGCAGGTGGCAAACCGTATGTAATCTTACAGTTGGTTTTAAGTTACTAGGTTACTTTTAAGCTCTTAAGTCTGCCTCTGTATCGCGATAAGAGTGCGTTGATCATTTGCATTTCGTTGCGCGCAGGGCGTACTCCTACCATATGAACGGCGAGGGCCAACTGCAGCCCGTACCATTCCCCACGGATGCTCTGGTAGGACCTGGCATCCCCCGTCACGCACGTCAGATTAACACTCTGACCCACGGCGAGGTGGTCTGCGCCGTTACGATCTCGAATCCGACCAAGTACGTCTACACCGGCGGCAAAGGTTGCGTCAAGGTCTGGGATATCGGCCAAAGTGTCGGCAGCGCCAGCGTGAAACCAGTTTCGCAGCTGGACTGTTTGCAACGTGACAATTACATTAGGTGAGAGTCGTCCTGAGCGAGTCGTAGATCCCGTTGATCTTTGGACATCCCCGAGGGATCGCGACTTATAAAAATATACCTCGGCGAGTAAAGTCCTTTTCCGATCGGAATAATTTAATTTTCGTTCTGGACCACTACATTTCGAGTTTGTTAAAAATGACGTAGTTAGACAAAGGCAGTTTTTGAATTTTAAACAATTTTAAACAATGAATCTCGTTTCTTTTTCTTTAAACAAAATTATTAGAAGTTAGATGTCAATCAAACTTTGTATTTAGCAGACTTAAGTTTTTTAAAGCTAAAAGAGGAAAATTTATAGTGATTGAAATTAATGATTTTGATCTTTCAGGTCCGTGAAGCTTCTGCCCGACGGGAGGACCCTGATCGTTGGCGGAGAGGCCAGCCAACTGAGTATCTGGGACCTGGCGAGTCCCACGCCTAGAATCAAGGCGGAGTTGACTTCGTCGGCGCCCGCGTGCTACGCCCTGGCGATCTCGCCCGACTCAAAGGTCTGCTTCAGCTGCTGCAGCGACGGCAATATCGCCGTGTGGGACCTCCAGAATCAGACGTTGGTCAGGCAGTTCCAGGGCCACACTGACGGCGCGTCCTGCATCGACATCTCCGCCGACGGGTCGAAACTGTGGACCGGCGGCCTCGACAACACCGTGCGCTCCTGGGATCTTCGCGAGGGCCGGCAATTGCAGCAGCACGACTTCACCTCGCAGATATTCTCCCTCGGTTACTGCCCCACCGGCGAGTGGCTGGCCGTCGGGATGGAGAACTCGAACGTGGAGGTGCTCCACGCGACCAAGTCCGACAAGTACCAGCTGCATCTGCACGACTCCTGCGTGCTCTCCCTGCGTTTTGCCTCCTGCGGCAAGTGGTTCGTCTCGACCGGCAAGGACAATCTGCTGAACGCGTGGCGTACGCCGTACGGTGCTTCAATATTTCAGGCAAGTATTCGAACGAGAGGACTTGAATAACTTATACCTTCTGCGAGAGATTCAATTCTCGTCTCGCCCTCGACGAAAGCGAATTGCGTTGTAGAATTTTACCACAACATGCGAAATGTATAGAACGTAATATTTATTTTCTTTTGGGCCTAATTACGTCTTTCTCTCTTCTTTTGAATTTTTTAAAACTTTGTTAAGTGAGCTTGATTTGATTGCGGACGTTTTCAAGAAAAATTTCCCATTCTTTAAAAATGGCAAATTAATTTATATATTGAATTAACTAAATTTTTCTTTGCCAATATTTTTGTTGAACTTTGCAGTCTAAGGAGTCGTCGTCGGTGCTGAGCTGCGACATTTCCGCGGACGACAAGTACATTGTGACCGGATCCGGCGACAAGAAGGCCACTGTATACGAAGTGATTTACTAAGCCTATTCCTATTATAATAAACCAAGAAAGAGACTTGCCTTTCCTGCATTAATGACGTTAAAATCGTGGACTTCGTTAATGTGTGTTCTCCCCTTTCGCGAGGAAGGAAAGAAGGCGCGCGACGAGCTCCCGCAAACTGGGGAAAAACTACTCGGCAGCCTTAGAGTCTTAGATCGTGCGACTGATAAATGTGTACATATTACGCATACGCGAATCTATATTGTAACGGAATTACAAATAGAGATATGAAAAATTGAATGTGTGTGTGTGTGTATGTGTGTGTGTGTGTGTGTGTGTGTGTGTTGTGTGTGGCGCGCGCGTGTGTTTATGAATGAGCGGGATCAGCGATGTATATTAATTTCGCACGTGCGTGTCCCCCGATTCCGCCGAACGCGTGCGTACCTACGTGCGTGCGTTTCCGCGTGTGCGGAAGGGATTTCTGTTTGTCCGCGCGAAATACAACGAGCGTTGACGATGGAATGGACATTCCATCCGACCGGGGATGGATTCGCGTACGCACTAAAATAAACGAAAGGAGCCTTCGCAAACGGTGATGATAGAGTATACAGGGTGATTCTTGATTCTGTGCCGATATCCCGAGGGACGAGTTTTTTAAAGTTCGAGGAGGAAATCTCATGCGGGCGTAACAAATCGTTAGGTTTTTATCTCCCGAGGTGTAATAAATTTTAGGAGAATATTCGGAAAGACGAGCGGCCTGTTCCTCTCCGTTGTAATACACGTTCTAATGTGACTCGATGTTTACTATGTATTATCATTTGTGCGTTGTATGTATTATCATTTTATGCATGTTGCGGTTTGAAAAGATACCGCAGCGTGTGCGTCGCAGCGGAAGACAGACGCTTCGACCGCTTTTTTCAATTCGTATCATCTTTTTCCTGTATTGGGCTCTAGACTATTCATCCCCTCGAGTATCGACATTTAATTAAGATTTATCTTATATATGATTTTGTAATTACGTAAATGTAAGATTATAACGCGCCTAAAGTGAACGGCCGATAAAAAGCGATAAGGCGTCAAGATTAGCCTGGCCTACTCACGAAAGAAATCGCATTACGCTTTTTAGTAAATGGATATGCGATCGTTCGGGACATCATTTTGAACTTTTGTCATTTTTACATCTTCAAACAAATCATTATTTTCCCATTACTCTTCTGAACAACGTAAAAGAAATCTAAGAGAAGCATGTAAAAAGTGTAGGATGTCTTCTATGCCGTCTTTACGACGTGTCTTTTAGAGTTTGATTGCCGAAGATTTTCATCATTGATATCATTATTGATGTAATTTCGTTATGAATAATCGGTGTCGCGCAGATTGTTAGATTTTTCCAATCGGTTTAACGATTATCTCTACTAATTTTCAAAAAGAAAAGAAAATGGCACTGTATCAAGTAATAATTTGTCGTGCACGTCGAGCGAGACGACGGTACATCGGGCTTCGAGCCGTCTCCTGATCCTGTCGGTGTCAATGTCACGGCTGTCGCTGGTTTGAGGACAGCCCGTGGCGTAAACTAGTTTATGAACGAATACCTTTTTGCATCGTAAAAATATAGTGCGATACCTAATGTGTAATAATCGAATTTCTACGTGATATAGCGCGTATGCGTGGCGACGAATGGCAAATACGAATCCCTGTACAGAACTCCTTGTACATATTCGACGATTGTGATTAACGATTATAAACGAGATGCACGGTGTACGTCGCTGTAACGGCGTACTTCGGACTCTTTAAATATACCTATGTAAAGTACAATCCTCCGCCCCCCCCCCCCCGCCCCGTGCACAATCGAAACAGAACTATTTCTCTACTTTAATTAGGAGACACTCGATACGCGGAGATCAATAGAAGCGGATGCGACCTCTCTCGCGACGTTTAGCATTAGTTAAAATACCAGCTAATTAAATCTTTTAATATCGACGTTGCGTAGAATTGAGATGTCTTTGCGTTAACCAGAAATAAAACCCGATGACAATTCGAGACGTTTTATCCGATTGTAAAATATAATAAATAAAAAGGAAAACCGATTTCGTAATATTCTGCCTTCGATTGATCTTCGCCCGAAAAAATTAGCCGAATGAGATTCTCGACAGGCAGACGAGCGCGAACTGCAATGTATTATCGAAGTGAAATAAATTCGTGAAATTACATACGTTCTTGGCATATATTGAAACTGCTGCTAAAATGAAATTTGAAGGGAGACAGATGGTCACTTTATTTGAGCTTTGTTGGCGACTAAAACTTTCGCGGTTCTCGTCTTGCTGGCGAATACATGACGAATTGAAAGGTTTTGATTAATGCATTATATGTAGGGAAAGATATGTCATGTAACTAACTGGATGACGTATCCGCAAATTTTCTTGAAATAAATAAGGATCTATTCCATTTTCTCCGTCGCATTTTTAGCAATAATAATATGTGACACTTTTTATAGTATGATTTTCTTTATTGTCTCGCATCAAGTTGAGTTTTTCTAGTTTCTCTCTCTCTCTCTCTCTTCTTTT